AATTACATAAAATGAAAATATTTTAATTTCCACTTCAATTTTTGGCAAGTTCCTGATGAAATATAATTGTTGTCAGGAAACGTATTTCGAATCAAAATAAACAACTGCAATTTCAAAAGCAATTATAAACAATAATTTACAGTTAAAATGTCAACAATGTGGACAAATAAACCAAAGTTATGGTAAAAATGATATACGATCGCATGAAAAAATAAATATTTTTATGCTGGGAATGAAAATATATTAGAAAGAGTGCAATAAAGTGCTCAGAAACAAAGCTGGCCAATTAATAATGTTGAGCGAGTTCACATTCCGAAATCGTTTTCGGCCCAAGCAATCCCAATCAGCGCGTTTACGACCGCGTTCACTGGCTCCGGGGCATTTTATGTCCAGTTCGACAAACGCACGCCAACTCGTAAATTATCGCAGAGTGAGTTGAGTCGCAGCTGAGCTCGGCTGAAGCCTTTTTTGCCAAAATAAGTCAGCAGATTTGGCCATTTTGCTGCCGACACGTAAATCCAAAACTTTTTTATTTTAGTCAAAGCGTATTTTTCACGCGCCGTTGTATTAAAACTTACAACACGTCACATTCTGATATGGTCACGGCTGCCCCTGCCAGCAACGAGTTTGCAACCCGCACGGCAGATGGTGTGTTGGCGCGAGAGGCAGCCTGCGAAAGTGGCGAATGAGCCGTCAGAGTGCAGTTCTCTATGATCGCAGTAAGATTGTTTAGTTTTCCAGCTCTGCTGATTTTAGGAGGCCATAAAAATAAATTAAAATATTTTTGAAAAAATTTCTTGTTCCAAACGCTATAATTGTTTAGATAAATTACATTGAAATAAATGTTTTGAAAATTTATTTTAATACAAATTTATTAGTTTTAAAATTAATGTATACAGATTTAAATGAAAACTCATTCGAGAAACACTTCATTACAAATTTTAATTAAAGTGATGCAAAATTTAAAATAAATAAATATCCGGTGAGAAAGTTTTTTTGTTCATTGTAAGAATATTTTTTATTTGTACTTAAAAAATTAAATGAAATTAAGACACATTAATCACATCAATCAAAATAATTTAAGCAGGTTTTAAAATAGGCGAACATTTTCTGCAAACCTGTAAAAACCTCTCCTTAATTATGAAGTTTAAAACTTTTCATTAAAGCGAACATTCACGACGGAGTGAAAAATCATCAATTTTAATAACGAGCGTTTCTAGAAAATTTCTACTCTCATATCCGCGTAATGCTGTTTTCGCCGTGACGTTCATTAATTAATAAACATGACGCTTTTGAGTGCATTTTTATACTTCGCGCTTTTCCCACTGAAATGCTTAATTAAAAAGTCACGCCGAGAGGATAAGGTTGTGCGCGGCGCATTACAAAACTTAATTGACGTGCGGCACCAGCTGATCAATTTTGGATTTTGTCGACATGATTAGTAATTCTGTCAAGCAACTCCTCGCCTGCTGCAGCTTTGAAGAGAAACTCAAAAGCACTGCTCGCTGCAGTACCACCCATTTAATTAAGCATTTATAAAATTAATTTTTTCAAATATATTACTAAATTAACTATTATTAAATATTTTTCTCTTTAAATTAATAATTCATTACAATAACAAAACTTATCATTTCAATTTATAATGCAATTCAAATTGCGTTTAGGGCAAGGCTTGAAGTGTTGTAATTTGGGTGTCAGCAACAGTTGCGTGCGTGAACGAACGAAAGTTGTGGGGGTGGCGCCAGCTGATGGCCCCAAACACCTGCTGCGTGGTCGATCTCGTTTCTCGTCCCTGCATTGTTGAGCTCTCGTCAGAATGAGGACGGAGTGTGTGCATTAAAGAAAAATAGCCACGGCAATTCTACTTTCAACCGTAACTTCAAATCACAGCGCACGTTGCGCCGCAATTGCCCTTTATGGCCGGCGCGTGCGTTTTGTTCCTTTCAACAGAAATAATGTAATAAAAGAAATATATACCGAGACTGCAATTTATTTGCGGTTCACTCACATTCAACCACTGCAGACGGATTTAGGACGCCTGCATGACGCAAATGAAATTTTATTAGACACACCCAAGCGGAATTCCAATTTGAGCAGAATGAGCATCCTCTTGACAAAAGTGCTGTCGAGTTGAAATATTTCGGCTCAACACAAACGCAAATTGGTTGTGCTAACGAGGAATTTATTAAAACATGTATCTGGATCCGCTAAAATAAGGGGTTCGGTTAAACTTGCAATCAACCTTATTTGATGAATTTAAATGAAAATTAAATTTTCCACTCCAAAATAAATAAAAATTTTAAGTGCTTTACATCGATCTTTAAAGTTTTTAGCAAAAATATTCAGAATTGTTTGGCAAAAGGTATTTGTATTTTAATGCTACCTGATAATTAAAATATTAATAATTTTTAAATTATTTTTCCTTTATAATAATAGTTTTGCCACATATCCACCCTTAAATTTTCATTATTGTCTCTAATTTTATTAATAATTTGACCTCTGACGAATTTATTGCTATATGAAACACGAAAATTAACAAATTTTAATTAAAACATTCTCCAATTCGTAATTTATGAAGCCTCAAACGAATCAATTTTGAATTGCCTATTTTGTTGCATTTATCATAAAAATTAATATAGTTCAAGTTTATTAAAAAACAAAGCAATAACTATTTTCTTTCTTGCTTTCCTTTGGCTGTGCCCAATTGTATAATCTCTTATTCAAACGCATTTGTTGCTTTGTTGTTGCGAGGAAGGCAGAGAAAGTTGGGGACGACAAAAGCTGGCGTGTGCGTGCGACACAACGGTTTCCAAAGAGACGCTTTAACCCGCGGGACACGAGCAGGTGGAACGCACAAAGGTCGGCAGCAGGATTTCGCGTGCGGCCGTGAGCGAGTTTCAAATGGACCGAACAAACTCACTCCGAGAGTTATCGATTGCAAACTAGCTGCACGGCCGGTGTTTCCGCCTTTATCACAATACGGACCAATTTTCAATCAAAATAATACACCGTGCAAAATGAACAGTCGCCGGAGAGTAAAAATGTTTCATGTGGTTGTTCAGAATATTGAAAAACAAATACTGATGTGAGCATTTGGCAGTGACAGGTTTGAAAACAGTATTGGCCAGTTGAATCATAAATATTCATTTTATATTTAATTCATTCATGGGAATAATTTTTTCTTAATTTCTTGTAGCTTAAATTAGGTTTCTATATTTTATTCCATTGTTTAAAAAAGAACGACTTATATGAATTTTTTGCAGATTTTTTACCCTTAGAAAATCAGATAAATTTGCTGTTTTCAGAAAAATAAGTTGGCAATTTCAAGGGTAAAAGATTAAATTTTTTTCATTCATTCCATTTTTACTAATTTTTTTGGAGCTTGGAATAAGTGATTTGAGCCTCTGTGAAAGGAGGAAAAATCAGGTCAAATTTTCTTTATATCCGTGGAAAGGATGGTGATTGGAAGATGGGCAGAACCCTTTGAGTGCACTCGAGTCAAAATAAAGCAACACGTCCGTTTGATTGGCAAGCGCGGGAGAGTCCACCTGATGAAAATTGAAAGGCGCGCTGGATAAAAGCTCTTGGATCGATCAACTGCCAGCCCGTCAAGCGACGACGCTGATGAGCAAAAATAAAAAAATACGAGAATGAAAGGATATCGGCCGGCGCAAAAAAGTAAACCCGGTAATTAATCGGCGAAATGGGATATTTTCGCAGCGGTGCGTGAAGGAAAAACACAAGCTAAGAGGGAGCTAAGCCGATCGAGGCTTTGCAGAGGAATTGTTGGCGGTGGAAAAAGTAGTGCCTGAGGAAAATCGCTGTTACCGTGCGTGGTGTGTACACAGTGCGAACGGTAATACCGGGGCAAAGCCTCAGTCGCCGCCGCACATTCCCATGTTGGCTCTGCCAACACAGACAAAACAGCCCCGGCTGCTGGCCTTTGTGCCCCAAGGAGGCGGCACAGCAGATCAACCACTCTCTATTGTCGCAGATTAATTTCATTTCCAGAGAGGGAATTAACAAACCGAAACTGCTTTCGCGGAGAGAATGATTAATCGGCCTATCGCTTTGAATATAAACGCGTCTCAATGGATTTTCAAGAAGACCACATTGCACTCTCCTGAAGTCCTTTAACTTGATTCTAATGAGAACAACAAGTGCAGCAAGATTGATCGATTGCAATTATTTCAAGTGCATTTTAGCAGCAAGGAAAGTAAACTTTTAACTAAGTTATCACTTCTTTTTCAATAAAACTATAAAAAAAAAACACTTCTGTAAAACAAATATTTGTGAAGTTAAATAAAATCCAATTATAAAAATATAAATTTAATGTAATTTTTCCGTCCTTGGTTTACATAATTCTTGTTATTATTACCCTCAGAAAAAACGGTGAAAAAGCTAAAAATCTATAAAAATTTAAATTTTAACTTTCTTTTAAATAGAAACGGTTTTATGTGGCTATGGAGACCAATAGTTATACTAAAAAAATCACGAATAATTGTATCACTATTCAATAATTTTAACTTCAAACAAATTCAATTAAATTTAATAGAAAAATTCGAAAATCAAAGTTTATATAAAATAGATAACATCAGAAAACTTCAAATGGAAAATCGGAGAGACAAAGTGAATACATTCCTACTCGTTTCACCATTTACAAATTCCAGCTGGAAACTGCCAAGTATAAGTTGCAGAAATTTGTTATAAAATCCGCGCGGATCGATTTCATGTGCAAAAGCCACATTATTTGATCATCTCTATCGCTAAAGAGCTCAACTAGCGCAACTGCTGCTATTGAAAAATCACCCCACTTTATACTTCGTGAGTGTGAAAAAGTGGCGATTCCGATACCGCACCCCACGTTTTTCCAACCTATAAAATATAGCTCGTCGCCTGTGAACGATGCTCAATTTCGCCACCAGAGATAATGAATGAAGAAAAAAACCGCTGCGCGCGCGTATATTGAAAAACGGGGTCAAGTGTAGAGTCTCACTTACCTTTAATGAAGTCGACGGCCATCTCTAGGCCGTAAGTGTCCTTGTCGCAGTCGTCCAACACGTAGGCGCCGAGCGTGAAGCCGAGGAAGAAGTTTTTGTCCTCGTTGACGCGGTCGACGGTGTAGAGCATGGCCTCGAGGGCCTGCACGCCGCCCTGGGGCATGATGGGCCCGCACGTGATCGAGTCCTCCCTCTCGTGCACCATCATCAGCCCCCCGAGCACCAGGTCGCCCTCGACGACGGCCTCCCTCTTCACGGGCCACACCGCCCCCTCCACCTCGTCAGCGGCCACCACCGTCGGCCCCAAGGTCAACTGAGGTGAAGTGGTTTCGGTCAAACCGGTTGTTACCGGAAAAAAGGTGGTGGGGGTTGCGCTTGACACAAGTGGTGGGGGAGTTGAAGAACTCGGAGGGGAAGTTGAAGACTCCGGAGGGGAAGTTGAAGAATCCGGTGGGGATGTTGAAGAATTTGGAGGGGAGGATGAAGAAATCGGAGGGGTAATTGTTAAAAGTGGTGGGGGACTCGTAGAAGTGGTCAAAGGACTTGATTTTTCAGGGGTGGTGCCCGGAATTGTTGATAAGGAGACGTTCTGCATCTCTGTGGTGGTGAGGGGCGGCGAGGGACTGGTCGAGGGCAGACAGGGTCGGACTGCCAGCGCCAGCAGAACCCAAAGTGCGACCGGACGCAGCATTGTCCTCCTGCAACAGACGAATAATTATTTTACATTTGTATGAATAAAACACAATAAGAGCTGCTGCTTTTTCAGCACAATGAGCATTTCTGTCACACACACACACGCTGGGCAGAGAATGAAATGTATGAAATCATTATTAACATTGTATGTACGAGCTGGACGAACACGCTTGCTTTGAATGGCCGGTCTATTAATGCATGCCGCATATTCGGAAATTGAAAAGGCGCTTTTGGTTTGCTCCCTTTTGTGCCTGGAATACTCGCTGACAAATTTGAATTCATTTCCCTCTAAAAGAGAAACGTTTTTTTCCGTCAGCTTTTAAATATTAGAGTGAATTTTCCAATTAAATATAAACAGAGAAAATATATGTAATTTTGGGTTAAACCGGATTAGTCTGCGTGGAAATTATTTAAAAAATCCAACAAAATAAATATTATCCAGAGCATGGAATCTGGAGATGAAATTTCTAGTAAAAATAATATATTTTTTTCAATTAAGTTTTAATACTTCACATCAATTGATGCCACATATAAAGCTGGCGATTAATGAAAAATCTTTCATTGAACTTTTATAAAATTATTGCAAACCGATCCTGTCACGTGATAAAAATAAGTGCCAATAAACGGAGCAATTTTATCAGCAAGTAATTTCCAACAAATTCCTTTTCAGTAGCAGGCGCTTTTGAGCTGCAATTTACGGCCGAGCGTGTGTGTTGTTGAACGCAACTCAACGTTGGCAACAATTTATTAAAAATTTATACGTCGCCGTCAGGCAGGTATATTGAAAAATAGCTGGTGCGGGGTGAACTAGGATAGTTGCAAACTTGAATTTATCGCGCGAAACGTGACAATAGAATGAGAAAAGAGTCTTCCATAATTCACGAACAATACGCCGGGAAATGCAGAGCCGCTTGACACCTTTTAGAAGAGCGTCTCGTTTTATTGCATTTTCGCCGTTATTGCTCCGCTGGCACATATTTCTGAGGTCTCGCTCATAGCCCTGCGCTTTTACTACCCCGCAATATCGCACCCTCAGTGCACTTTATGCACTTACAACGGACGTAAAGCGAATCACTTCAATTGCAGTGCTGGTCGGAAAAGGAAATACTTTTTGCCGCAAAAGTCGAGCGCCCTGTTGCGGTCGAATGGCTTTAATGTATTAATGCACGACACGGTGAATTTATATATTTTTAGCAAGGTTTTTCACCTGAAAAAAATGTGAGGAAAGAGGTGAAATATAGAATATTTATCATTATTTTTGAACATTAAGAACATAATTAAAAGAAATTTAAAAATATGTTTTAAATAAATAAATTATTTTGAATTTCATTTCTGAATGAGCCAATTTTTTTTCTTATTTTCGAGGAGAAATAAACGCAATAAATTGTTTTATACAACCAGTGAACTTGGGGACAGCGTTATAGATATTTAATATTTAAACCATTATTTATTTTCATTGAAAAATGTCGAAATTCTTAACATAATAACAAAGACTATAAAATTTATTTTCTTCACAATCAAATCGACTGCTTTTGCATAGAAATTATTGAGCAAATGAAAACGGTGAATATTAATAACAAAATTTCTACACCTATTTACAGACCAAACATTACAAAGTTTCAATTTTTTTAACTTGTGTTTCCAATTTTCATATTAAAAAATATTTATATGTTCGTAAAAATAAAATATAATATTCATTTTTGAATAAATATACAATAATATTAAATTACCAGCATTCCCTCGAATAAAAGGCACCAGCACCACTTGGCGTGTAATTGACTAGGTGGACAGATTGGCTGGAACTGCATTGACCTGTCATTGCTTGCATGTTAGGCATGAATTATCTAAACCGATTGCGACGGACGTAATGCGCACACTTTATGATGCATGAAGCTGCAGATTAATTGGCTGTGCTGTAAGTGAACGTCTGTTTGTCCGCCACTCTAACCCAATTAAAGCGCGGCCAGTTTTCCTCATAGGTTTATTGTGCGCCTTGTTCTTGTTATTGCTGCAGCCGGAATTGTCAGGTATAATAAATAATTGATTGCCCGGTAATTGGCAGGACGTGGCTCGTAACTATATCGATGGCCCTATTTGGGTCGAGCAACTCTCTGACGCAAAATGTTTGTCATTGCTAACGACACGGCAAATAATCTCCAATTGAATTCTATTGTTCTTGATGTTTAAGGGTTTGACAATGATTTAATATAATAACAATGATCAAGAAACGGTAGATAAATTATTTATTAAATAATGCTTTTGTATTTATGAAAGATAAACAAAATATTTGAATAGTTTTAAGTAATAATTATAAAAATGCAATATATAAAAGGTTCATTTTTTAACTTTTAAAATAATAAATAATTTCCAACTATATTTTTTTATATCGATGCTTATTTTAAATATAAATTTGTTAGTGATATAAAAAGATTTAAAAGTAATAAACAGCTTACCTGATAATATTGAAAATTAACAGCAAGTTTTTAAACTTTTTTTATATTATATTGCGGTTTACTTTGAGACAATTGATCGAATGAAAAAAATATGGAATAAAATATAGGCTTCAGACTGATAATTTAACATTGAAAAATTTAAACACATTTACCAGTTTCAATTTGATTCATTTCTACGCAATTATTAACGGAGCACTCGCATATAAAAGCGACTAATTCCGGAGAGCCCATTAGCCTTTGAAGCTGCAGAGTGAATAATTGACTGTGCTGGCGAGTAAGCAAAGGGCAGTTGTCCGGGCGCAGCGGTCCAATCAAAAGCAGCAAGTGGCATCAGACTTTCCGTTTGACCGCGCTCGCAGCACTTCAAAGAAATTACTATATGTGTGCGGCAGCCACAATGGATTCTGTTTTGAAGAGTAATGTAGGTGCGACGAGGCAACCCGAGTCTTTCCTCGACACACCTATTGAATGCGACTTTGTTTCAACCCGATCGCAACTTCTCAAATGCACTCACTGACTGCACTTGGCGGTTGACATGAATGGCGGAAAATTCTATTTGCAGTTAATAATAATAATAAAAAAAAAAATATGTATGGCGTCATGGATGGAAATGTGAAATGTAATGTAACAAACAGGTCATCAGATTGAAACCTACTTCTTATGATTAGCTTAATTCGCTTGGGTTGCTAAGTTGGCAAACTAAACAAAATTAGCCTTTGCTAATTTCACTTGAGTCACAAAGCAAGCAAAATTAGCTATTGCTTGTTTCGCATAGGTTGATAAATTAGCACAATTTTGTAGGTTTAAACTAGCTTTTATCTTCACCAGAGTCAATTGCTTTTTTCTGTTGAAAGAAAATTTAAAAAAAGTCTGAAGAATAAGCTTAACTTGTTTCTGAAACTTCCAGATTCGATTTAGAAAATTTCCATTTGTTTAATTTTAGTAGGCAAAGTAGATCTCATTAAAAGTTATGCAACCAGCACGTCAGGTCTGCAAAGCAGGTTGAAGAACTTTGAAATATTAAGTAAGACGATTCAACAAAAGCAAGATTTTCTTATAACATTCATTCATTTTTATACTTTCCAAAGGATAAGTTTAAAAAATTATGTTACTAATATACAAGGAAATAATTTCTTTAAAAACCAGAATAAAATAATGAAAACCTTAATTCTTGATAATTTTGACTCTTTTCTTGAATAAAAAGCGTTCTCAAAAATTTATGAATTTCACGCACGGATCATTTACTACAAGGAGCGGCTAAATGACGGTGCATATATTTTCCGCGAGTCGGTTGATGTGTTGACGTGTCTGGCGTAAATCTTGATTGTTCCCGCAGCGTTTCGTCATAAAAAATTCAATAGCAGGTGTAGAGCGCGCGCCGGCGGCCACGTTGATTGCCAAGTGAGGCGATGAGTGCGCGGCATGCACTCATCCATCACGCTCCAAGTGTGCGCACTGCCGATGATACATGGAATATTCACGATAATCCCCCGCGAGAGCGAAAGCAACAACGCCAGCTGCCGGCTAATTGCCGCACAGTCGGCATTAAATTTGCAAACACCGACTTGGCTTATGCTCCAGATCTGCACACTGCATTAATTTACTCTCGCACCCACGCTCATTTGCCGCCCGGCTGGATTAATTGACATTGTGAAATTGTGCTTTTGTTTGAAACCTCATTAAGTTGCGACTATTATGAACGGTTTATATTAAAATTGAGTTTTATTTATTTAAATTATGATTCATTGTAAGTGTGGTGAATTAAAATTTGAATTTTGAAACAAACTAATTTTAAGAGGAATTAGTTCAGCAATTCCAAATTGAAAAATTTAATTTATTTCTTAAGAAATATTTGATTATTAGCAAACAATTATTGGCTCCTATCGCTGCATAAAAACTGCAACTATAAACTTAACTTTTCAAAATTGAATTAAATTTATTTAAGTAAAAAATTGTCTCAATGTTGCAAAAAAATATTTAAAAAACAAAACACTAACCCCAAATTTGGATATATGGACCAATTATTTTGAGCATTAGTCAAGACCCAACTGCTTACTGTATCATTAGAATTTTTTTTTAATTTTTTATCGAATTACAATTATCATGCGATTGCCAGCATAAAATTTGAAAAACATTATCACATATTTACTATATTTATAAATTTTTAAATTAATTAGAGTATATTTTTAATCAACATTTTGATTAAAACTATAATTGTATATTTAAGCAACAATTTAAAATTTGTATTTTATACAGTTATGTATTTTATTTTCAGATAAGATGCTTTAGAGCAACAAAATATTTCATCTTCAAATGCATTTATTAACTTCAGACACATAATCATACTTTGTATGAAGAATGTGAAGAATTATACTTATTTTTAATAGATATACATTTTTAGATTGTTCATTAAAATACAGAGAGTAAAAAATACAATTCATCCAGATTTTAGTATCTATCGTTACTTCAAATATCTGACATTGTGTGTGACATGCTCACATTTTAATATCGGACATTTTTAAAGCTGGTGTTAACGTTGTCACGCAAAAAAA